TATATATATAAAAGATCATCAGCAGCATTCGCTATTCAGTATTCACAGCGCTATTCATCCGGTGATTCTGAGGTAAGTGTGCATCTGCTTCCTCGTGTAGGCGGCCGCGGCTTGAGCATTGCAGAGATCACAGTTCTTATTATCTCTCATGTCATCGATCCCTGCCAGTTATATATATCTACCACAACCATGAACTCAATGACACCTACTAGCCCAACAGACCTTGTGAGTTGAGTGTGGTGGCTGTTAGCAGTGTTTTTCTTTTCTCTAAATTTTCTAATACAGTTTTGAACAGCACAAAAATCATCATGAATTTTAATGGTAAAATTGATTGGGCATAGCTCTAGTTTCCGAAGTTGCAAGAAGATTCAGCACTGCCCTTGAATAAAGTATGATGAGGGTCTGGTTAGGAACAGGGTTGGGGAGTGGAAGCTAAACTCGCTTGAGCTGACCAATCAGGCAGCAAGTCAGTGTCACAACTCCACTCTGTCTTTACAGAAAATAGGACATTGCAGTTTTGACGGAACACATTTTTTGTGAGTTTTATAATTTTGCCTTGAGAGTATTAGTTAAATCCCTTTAGACAGGCATATAAAATACCAGCAGGAATGTTAACTGTATAAACACTTAGTTGCCAATGTCATCTAGCCTAATGAGTTTGCAATGGCAGATACCCAGTAACATAAAATACTAACAGAAAATTATAATTTACCCTCTAGGTGAACCACATACGGCTAAACGTAGAACGATGCACCTGCCTGATTGGCTGCTTATTTTAGTAATGTGATGTCATCACATCCTGGGATATCCACAGACTATTTTTAGAAGACCCTGGAGATACCAAAGATTCTCTACTACACTACACACTACATGATCTTTGGAGATACCGATACCGCATGGAACGACATGTTGGGTCAGTGGCTTGACCTGTTATATCCGTATCGATGTGTTTCGCACGTTAAAATTTCACACTTGTGGCTTACTGCAGCACGTCAGCCATGCTCTGATGACAGATCGCTTAGATCGTTGATGCCTTCAGAACAGTAAGAATGCTGATGCTTGCAACTGAAACACGAAAACGCAAAGACAATTTAAAGCGCGCTAAAATTGCCATAAAGACGCCCGGAGATTACCCCCCACCGGCCCGATAAACAATGCTCATAAGAGATAAGCAGCAGAATCATCGGAGCACTGCATCATATCACATTACCATTTTTACCAGTCTGGTACGTCTCTTTGAAAAAGATCGCACAAAACGTCGTGCCATGGTAGGTACACGTTCTTTGGTGCCATGGTTTATGCGGTTGGCTATGTTTAGATCATGTAGTCACATGATCGGAGGGGTATCCCGGTCTGATGTCACACAAGATGGCCGCCTTACCTAAAAATAGTTCGCGTCCTTCTACGTTAAGTCGCATGTATGTGAACCTGGAACTTTTATTGCAACATTTAAAATCTTTTTTGGCACCATCATGTTCCTGTTGTATATGGGACCATCAAATCAATAGATAAACTGCTGTTTACCGTGACCCGATAGGTGACAACAGGGAAAAACTTGATGTAAAAAATATGTGCATCGTATCATCATTATATTTCTCCGTTTTCACCCATATCAATTTGTAATGTCTTGACAGGTATGAATGAGCCTAACTGTGACTCGTGACTTCCTCAAGCAGAATCTGCTCATCAAAGATCTCATTGCACATCTATAGGCCTATATTGTAGATCTAGTGGTCTTTACAGGATTAACTTTAGCAACTCTATAAACCCGTGGCCATTTTTTGCGGTAGATAGCATTAGTTTAGTCTGCAGCGGCAGCGGACTCGCTGTCCCAAAGCCTAAACTCCTAAGGAAGTGGCTATTCTCATCCGGGGTGAGAATAGAAAAACGATCTACCTCTCGGCCCGGGTGAGACGTGCCAGCGTAGGCTATTCTCACCCGGTGCGAAACAAGACCTGCTTTTCCTCATTTTGGAATATTGTCTATCGGTGTGGATGATCAGATTGATAAAAGCCAAGAAAAAATTACGTTATAGCACAAAAGTAAGCTAATTTGATCGTCTTCAAAGATGCTATGGCTATTTCACTGTTCGAATCGAGCCGAACTACGCGGGTCGCCATTTTGTTTTGCCCGGAAGTTCTCGCAAGATCTACTCCTCCCCTCTCTCTCTCTGTCTCTTTCTGAATACTGTCTATCGGTGTGGACGATCAAATTGACCAAAACAAAGTTAAAAAATGATGTTAAAACACAAAAGTAAATTAATTTGGTTGTCTACAAAGATGCTACGGCTATTTAACTTTTCGAATCGAGCCGAACTACGTGGGTCGCCATTTTGTTTTGACCGGAAGTTCTCGCGCTACTCCTCTCTCTGTCTCTTTCTCTCTCTCTCCACTGCCCACATACAAAATTGTACGCTTTCAGAGGCTACAGTTATAATGGAACGTTTGTTCACGGCACAGAATTCTACAATTTTTCTGTTATCACAGTGTAGAATTCTGTGGTTTAGGGTGAACGCAAAATTTGTTGGCCTAGATCTAGATCTAGATCTCGGCTATAACGGTGAACGCGCACCGGGTGAGAATAGCCAAAAGACTAGCCTGCACTATTCTCATCCCGGGTGAGAATAGAGGTGGCCAACTCCTAAACCCCAACCCTCTGTTCTACTGATCTACTCATCATAGTGGACGCTCGTTACGGAAGCCCTCCCAAAATATTGGTGTCTTGGGCTAAATGATAAGATTTAACAGCCATCAAGAAATAAATGTATACACATACACACTTAGCTTACTTACCTTAGCACTTTCGTTGTGAGCCGGATGCAAAAGCAAGAGGAATGCTATCATCGGGATTGCGTGGAGGACGTAACAGGTGTGTATTGAGATCTTCATATTGTTGCCTTTATTTTGCTTTTACTTTAATATTCAGGTAAAAATACAGTACTACACGACGGAAATGACAGAACACTTGTATCATTAGTAGACTATGAGAGCATCTGAGGCTGTATGGGCCTTTTAAATATTCTTCCTGCCTCTTCCAGCTGTTGACAAGCAGAAACTTTCTCCACTGCCCAATTCCATTTCCGACAAAACACAAACAATACCAAGGCCCTTAACTCCGAAAATTTGAGAAGAAAAAGAAAGGGAAGAATACTTTATCGCATGAGCTGAAGCATAATACATTTATGGGTCACTTCTTAAAAGTATTGACATCGAATGCAGTATTTTCATCATATGAATGTTCGTTTTTGTGATAAAAGTAAACAGGTAAAATGCAAAATAATTAGGCTTTCTTGTGAGCCTTTAGTCTATTGATATCGATGTTTGATTAAAATTATGAGAGTGATCTCCCGTTTTAATTTTTGTTTATGGAGCATCTTTCAACTTCTTTCCCTCCCACCCATGCAATAACGAAAGTGAAAGAAATTGCAAACCGTTATCTAGGGGAGGTATGGAACTTAAGTTTCGGGCTTCTCCTCTTTCACTCCCATATTTGTATTTTGTATCTAGTTTGCAGGCTATTTTCACGGCGCCGTATTATTAACGGCTTTATTAACCCTATCCATACGTCGTGTTTTACTATCGTATCCATACGACGTGGGAAACGCTGGCCTGTGCCACCACTTTCCAAAGAGGAAATTTACTCGTAAATCCGATCCGTATTCTTTGCATAGCCGTCTGTCAAAATGATTTTTTTGTACTGAAAGTTTCAAAGAGATCTTTGCACTTGATCTAGACTAGCCTAGAAGTAGAAGTATTCTAAAAATGAAGAATACAACCTCGGAACCCCCGGGGTACAAAATCATGAAATGACCCCAGGCCCAGGGCATACACGTATAGGAGAGGGTAGCTTTTCTCTGGGGTTGCACTACAGTCATTTTACTGTGAATTGTTAATTTGCTTTACCTTTTCAGCGCTAAGACACTAAGACTCATTGTCATACCACGTTCCATTCTCTGCATTACAGTACAGTGACAACGAGAAGAGATGACAGACCGAGAAATTGTCCTGATCGACATGGACTGCTTTTATGTCCAAGTGGAACAACGACTGAACCCAAGCCTGAAGGGGAAGCCCAGTGCTGTTGTGCAATACAAGACTTGGAAGGGTGGAGGGTGAGACTGAATCTTGATGCAGTGCCATAATTTGTACCTGGTTCTTTACTGCTTTTCATGTTTAATTTAGTTTTACAAATATTTCAGTTATTTCAAATGAACTATTTGATGTTTAAAAAAAATTTTATAATCCTGTTTTTAAAAAAAGTACATATTATATTTTAGAGGTGCCATCACTGACTTTAAGAACATATGTGTAAAGAATTTGTCTAACATTCAAAGTGAATAAAATGTTTATTTTTATAAGTTACAGAGTTACAATGGAATGTTCTCAAATTCTACCTGAACCTGTTGAGTTGAGAAAGCGAGGAGACTGAATGAACAAAAAGTTGCTTCCCATCAGCATTCACAACTGATATTATATGTGTGTGTGGTCGCAGCAAGCGCTGTTCTATTTTATCTGTGGAGGAGTATATTGTGTTCTTTCTTTGTTTCATCTGATGGAAGTTTTATTTACTTATTTGTAAAGACTCAAATGATGCTCTTTAGAACGACAATTTGAAAAAAATGATGCCTGTTGCCCTTTTTGCATGAGATGAAAAATAAAGAGATCTTTCTCCTTGTCATTTACTGCGGATCCAGAATCATTGCTGTGAGCTATGAGGCTCGTGCGTTCGGAGTGACGAGAAACATGCGGGGAGACGAGGCCAAACAAAAGTGTCCGGACATTGAGCTGGCTCAAGTCCCAGTGGTCAGGGGGAAAGCTGATCTGACCAGGTGAGACAAGACGTCATGTCACAGTCTGGCAAAGTCTGAGTTAGGTCTTTTGATTTTTATGGCTAAGTATTATTCAAAATGTTTTCAAACAGTTTCTTACTTCCCTTCCTAGTACCTTTCTTGGACAGTTTGACTGTTTTTGTTGTGCTTTTTACAATTTTACTTCTTTTTTTTTTTTTTTGGAACATTTTACTGCATAGTTATATTCAAGAGTTTTTAAAATTTTAATTATTTTCTATTATAGGTACAGAGATGCTGGGGCAGAAGTTATTTCTGTCATCAGTCGCTTTTGTTGTTGTGTGGAGCGCGCCAGTGTGGACGAGGCGTACCTCGATGTGACTGCCGAAGTGACACAAAAACTGAAGGCCATGGGAGACTCACGCGTTGTACCGGGTCAAGTGGCGAATACTTTTGTGGAGGGCTATGACAAGGCTCAAGGTAACTCTCCTGTCAACCCACCACTTCTTCTATACAGTGGAGGCCACTGAAACTAAATCTGCAGGCCAGCTGGATTTTCTTTGGTTTAGCCGGGCTTTCGGTTCAGAGAGATTGGTCAAAAAGAAGAAAAAAATCGTAAAGAAGGGAAAAAAATGGGGGATTTTTATCTTCTGGTTTTCAGCTGTTTTCGGATTAACCATGTTTGGTTTAAGCAGACTCCACCTTGATTATAAAATCACTCCTTTAAATGGTTTACTATAAACCACTTCAGAATTTTCATTTCAGAAAGTTGCTAGGTATCTTTTATAATATAGAACACAAGACAAATGATTATGAACGGACAGCAACTGAATATGAAGTTGGACCACAAAAACCACTACAAGTTATTGCAAAGAAAATAAGAAAAATTTGTCTGGTTTGGACATTCAGCCGATCATGAGAGTGAAAGCCTTGCAAAAACACCATGCAAGGCACAGTTGCAGGAAGTTAAAAAAAATAGGACAACAAAGAAAAATCTGGTCTGCCAACATTAAAGAATATTAGAATATTAAAGAATGAACTGGTATGTTTGTTGGCAGGGAACTTGAAAGGACAACAGACAGAGAGATAGGAAGAAAAATCTCATCATATTTTGGGGCTCAGTTTCTCCTCAAGGTTGTAAGTCAAGGGAAGATTAAGTGAGTGAGATGTAGTACTAGTAATGTCATATATTAACTCTTCACTGTTGGTTTTTCCAGGGATGCAAGGCTGGTTGGAAAGCGTGTACAACCAGGACTGGGCTGCAGAAAGTGACGTGCGACTGGCGGTGGCGGCCTGTCTGGTCGAGGAGATGAGAGCGGCGGTGCTGGCTGAGACGGGCTTCACATGCTCCGCTGGAATCTCTCACAGCAAGGTTAGTTAATTAGTAGTGCTTTGTCATCAGTTTATTGACACTGGTTTCGCCTGAAAGGTAGGGCTGGGCGAAGATTGGATTCTGTAGCCAATTTCCACGATAAGTGCTGGAGAAGAAAAGTATTGATTCCTTTTTACAAAAACTAACGGTTATCAATTACCTCATTTATTAAAAAATGTTGCGGTAGTAATAAAAGCTGTAGCTGTGTACACATGATTGAAGCTGTATAAAAGAAAATTATATTCAGTTACAATAAAACATGAAATTACATGGATATTCAAAGCATTGTTACTACTAATTTTTAGTGATATACTTAGTGTATTTGGCAAAACTGAAGCTTATTTGTGAATTTAATGTGCTGTTTTCATTCATGGACTTGATTAAAGAAGTTAAAAGTGGTGCTGGGTCAAAGCATGAATATGCATGATGTGCTCTGTCACTGACACTTTCACATATGTAGCTTTTTTCCTCCAGAGGGAAATATGAAATCTTTTTGTGGCTAGTTGACCTTGTGTCAAGTTTACACAGGAAATGTGACTCTGCTCCAAAAATTCCATGTGTATTCTCTCATAATCCTAAAACATGATCAAGAGCACATACTGTGCCAGAATAACATAGGGGGAACTGCTGCTTTTTCTTTCCTCATCCTTACATTCCTCCATTTTACCTCTACTTCTTTTGTATGTTTGTCACTGTCTTGTGAACTGTTATTTCTGGGGTGCCTTGATAGTCGAAGCAGATTTTGTGCTGTTGAGGCTAGAGAGGTGAGCAGAGTAAACCTGATTCCCGGTTTGGACTTTTCTGTTGACATCCACCCCTTGGCGCTCATAGGACCTTATGCAGTTGTGAGCGTCGTCAAACCTTACAAAAACATAAAACTAAAAAGTACTTTCCCCACCAGAAAGTTCTGTTGTGAACTTTTTGGGACTTGGCAAACATCTATGCCTAACTTCCGTGTATTTTCTCTTGTTGTCTAGGTCATAATGGTGAACCCATGATTTGCCCATGGTGACAATGCACTGGAGAACATAAGAGATCAATGGGTGGTTGGCAGGTGCTCTGGTAGGGGCTGCTCCTTCTTTTCCTAAGAAACATCTAACATCTATCATTCTTATCTCTCCTCCTTCTTTTCTTTGTATATAACTCTTTATTAACATCTTTAATCTTTGGTGTTTGCACGACCTACTTGTATTACAAGTGCCGTAACTAAAACTAATCTGAACACAAAATTATCTATATTTCCCCTTCAGATGCTGTCCAAGCTGGCGTGTGGACGTAACAAGCCCGACAAACAGACAATCATCCCTATGTCGTCTGTGCCAGAGATGTTCTCCAACCTTCCTCTCCAGAAAATGTAAGTGAATGGGAGCATAAAAGGACAGTAAAATAAGATTGGATAAGATAATACTTTATTATCCCACAGGGAAATTTTTCTTGGCTGTTTGGGATGGTAAAAACACATGCAGATATACATAAAAATTTACATTGTATATAACTCATTAAAATTCAATATGAAAACAAAAGTAAAGCTGACAAAATGTACATATCACATCAGATGCATCATTCAACCACATGCAGAAATTTAATTACAAGACCTTTAGAGTTCAAGATCTGTAAGAGCCTCGTCGTCACTGAGCAGCACCGGAAGTAGGATGTAATGGGAGCTCATGTTCAGGCAAACCTCGCTACTGTTCAGTTGATATTTTTTAAAACGATGACTGTGACCTTTTGAATCTGAACTTAGAGAAATTTGTTAAGCATTTGTTTTTTTTAACTGAGTGAATAAGACCTTCTTTCGTTCCCTTTGTTTGCAGACGTCATTTGGGTGGGAAACTCGGCGCTTTCCTGACGGACGATCTCCAACTTCAGACGATGGGCGACCTGACGAGGCTGACAGAGGAAGAACTGCAGAAGCAGTGTGGGCAGAAGACGGGGTGAGCTCCGCAGGGAGGGGGGGTGGAGGAAGGGGAGGTCGCCTCCTCGCAGGTTTTGTTTGTTAGGGATACGGAGAGCTTCACATCCACCAAACTCAGACTTGATAAGTTTATTGGATGTGAGGTTTCTTGTACCACATTTTTTCAGTTGCATACAACACTCACCTTTATATGTTGAGTAAATTTCTGCTTTCTGTTTAGATGAGGAGACCCATGATTTCCGTTCTCTCTTTCTCTCTCTCTCTCTCTCTCTCTCTCTCTCTCTCTCTCTCTCTCTCTCCCTCTCTCTCTCTCTCTCCCTCTCTCTCCCTCCCTCTCTCTCTCTCTCTCTCTCTCTCTCTCTCTCTCTGTGTCACTCCCTCTTTCTCTCTCTCTCTCTCTCTCTCTCTCTCTCTCTCTCTCTCTCTCTCTCTCTCTCTCTCTCTCTCTCTCTCTCTCTCTGTCACTCCCTCTCTCTCTTTTTTTTCTCTTCTCTCTCTCTCTTTACCTCTGTCGTCACATACTGATTTTGTGTGACCAAAGTGCTTTGAAAGGGATCAACGGCTGCATGTTTGTAGGGGTGGAAATATGATATAGCCTACAGTCGAACATGCTCCAAAGACCACCTGTATAAGACAATCACCTGTACCGACAGCCACTTCCTGTTTCTTCCTGTGTGTATTATTTACTTTATAATGATACTGTAAGATGGCCACCTGTCTAATACATTCACTTTTCTCCACGACAATGGGCGGCCGTCTTACACAATTTCAACTGTATTTTTTTTCAAAATCAAAATCTGAAATATGTGCACCTCCCGGGGCAGTGCCACTGACTGTAGTGTCTTTAGGCCATTCCCAAAGGGGGGACATTTCTCGTTCAAGCACAGTAGAATTGTAAATGGGCTGATTCATGTCACGCTCATAACTGTGCCTGATCTACAACGGGGAACTGCTGCTTTTTCTTTCCTAATCCTTACTATTGTCATTTTCCTCTACTTCTTTTGTATGTTTGTCACACTCTTGTGACCTGCTATTTCCGGGGTGCCTTGATAGTTGAAGCAGACTTTGTGCTGTTGAAGCTAGAGAGGTGAGCAGAGTAAGTCTGATTCCCTGTAAGGACTTCTCTGTTGACACCCACCCCTTGGCGCTCATATGACCTTATGCAGTTGCGAGCGCCGTAAAACCTTCTAGTATAATAATAATAATGAAATATGTGCTGTAATGGGACATACCAGGAGGTGATTGAATTTCTTTTTGCGTGTGCTCATCCAGGAGCTGGTTGTACCATGCCTGTCGCGGGATTGAAACGGAGCCCGTGTCTGCTCGCCAGCTTCCAAAGTCCATCGGCTGTGGGAAAAACTTCCGTGGGAAAGAGCAGCTAGACACTAAGGAGAAGGTATTGACTTGCATCTATATTTAAAAAACTTTTTTTTTCTGTAATGACACTAAGAACATTGATAGAAAGAAAGTTCCTCTAAGTCTGGCGAAGGGGAAAGAGCAGCTAGATACAAAAGAAAAGGTATTCACTTGTTCCGATATTTTTTTTGTTTGTTTTTGCAGTAATGCCTCTAAGAATATGGATATGCGGATTAGAATAAAGTCTGAGCTAGAATTAAAGGTCAGTTCTCGAGCCGTCGGGGGTGGCTTGCCGTGGTGAAGTCACTTTAGCCACTACCCTTGGCTCGGCATTGCAAATGAGTTAAAATATTATAAAATCCTTTCAATATGTTATTGAGAAATGGTTAAATGTGTGTTTTCCGATAGAACGAAATTTTTGACCAGGTGTGACTTTTTGGGGCCTTTTCACCCCATTGCTCAAAAATAGCTTTTCCGACAACTGGGAACTTTCTGCAGGTACACACTCATGTGAATGGGTATGCTATAAGTTGGGGTGAGGAGAGAGTGTTAATTTTTCGTCTGCTTTGGAGGATTGCCCTTATGAAAACTTTTCTTTCTTGACCTTTAAATTTTATCAGGTCAAATTCTGGCTGTCTGAGCTGACGAAGGAGATCAGCGAAAGATTGTTCAAGGACAAGGAGCTGGTACGTTTTTGTTTTTTTAAAAATCATAGTTCATTGATTTTTTTTTCCTTTTTATTATTTGGTACTCCAAACCTGCTTGTTTGTGCAGTTAAGGGGATTATATTTTTTAAACCCCGCCATTTATTGCCCCTTTTACTTGTAAATTGTTGTCACAAGCATGGCTAATATTGTTCTTTTTATTGATGAATTTTGCTGTACTTTACAGTACAGTAATTTGTCTGTGTTACTTTTTTGTTTTTTTCACATCTTTAGTTTACCTGGATTGTCTGCTGAAAAAAAGTCTTGAAATTGAACTTGCGACACCTGTCTTATTTTGGTACCCAAGTTTTAAAAATAAGTCAGGAAATGATTTTTATTTGACTTTGAAATTGTACAAGTAGAAGTTTTTTTTTGGTTTTTTCTGCCGGCCAGGAAGAAGCTAAATTGATCGTGAACCCTGCTTTGAGCCCTTTTATTTTCCTTATCTTGGGAGAAGTTTTTAAGTTAAAGATTAACATTCTCAGCACACAGTGTGAGAACATATTTGAATGTATACAGTGTGAGTACATAAGTACACTGTGAGTACATAAGTACACTGTGTGGGTACACATTTGAATGTATACGGTGTAAGTACACAAGTACACTGTGTGGGTACACATTTGAATGTATACAGTGTGAGTACATAAGTACACTGTGTGAGTACATAAGTACACTGTGTGGGTACACATTTGAATGTATACAGTGTGAGTACATAAGTACACTGTGTGGGTACACATTTGAATGTATACGGTATAAGTACATAAGTACACTTTGTGAGTACATAAGCACACAGTGTGAGTACACATTTGCATGGACACAGAGCTGTCCCAACTTCTACGGGAGTAACGACCTGCTAATCTTGGCTCATGAAGGGTCCCTCGCATGGTTGTGTAGCTTGCTTTTCTCTCACTATCTGTCAGAGCATTTCTGTGTCATAAATAAACCGATGCTGGGTTCTATGTGTGTCATGTTTTTCTCCTTCCAGAACAAGAGAACGGCCAAGTCTCTGACCGTACACCTCCGGTACCAGATCCCGGGCGCCTCGTCCTCCTCGGCCTCTCGTGCCTGCGCTCTCATCCGCTACGACCACGACAAGATCTGTGCCGACGCCTTCGCCCTCTTGAAACAGTTCCAGACCAGCCCGGGTCACAGCGCGCAGTGGTGAGTGGGAAATGACGATGGCTGCTCCTCGCTGTCATTCTGGCTTTGCAAAATCTGATAAATGGTCGCTTTTTAGCTCAACGGGGCTATCCCGAAAAATGCTGTTTTGAGAAAATCGAAGGTAAAAGTTTTTGCCCCTTTTTCAGTTTCTTTAAAATACAAGGAGAGTTTTTTTTATAACCAAACAAATGTACACATCAATGAAACCAAACTTCTCCTATAGGTAGGGCAATGCCCACTTTTGGTGTAGGTCAAGATTTCTGGAAACCCCTGAAATCTGGGTTAGCCTGCTTGTCCTTAAAAGTGACAAAATACAGTCAGACAGTTGAACCTGCTCTAAAAAACACCTGTCCAAGACAATCAGTTGTACAAACGACCAGTCCCTACTTCCCCCCTTGAATTTAAAAAGATGTTATAATGACTTTGTGCAAAACAACCATCTGTCTAAAGACAACCATTTTTTGCCTGAATGATGGGTGGCTGTCTTGGACACACTTGTGTGGGCTCATGCAATTTGTAAAAAAGATAGTCTTATACTGTGAACCAAACATTAGAATACAGGATAATTTGTTTTTTCTGGTACAGGTAAAATGTTAAAGGCATTGCGAGCATACTGTTACGATTAAAATATGTAACTTTTTTTTTTGATGAGAAGGTAGATTTTTTTGGTCCACTACTTATAGTCTGTACACTTATTTTTAAGCATATTTATTGACTGATTTATATCGTTCTATGCTTAAAATGATTTTTAAAAAATAATTTTTTTTAATCCTGCAGGATTCCTCCCATCACGTCACTGAATCTGTCTGCCGGCAAGTTCACGGAGCAGGGAGAGAACCAGACCATAAGCAGCCTCTTTGCCTCGGCCCCCTCGTCCAAGTCAACGGGGTCAGCCTGTAGCCAGATGTCTCTGCCTGTGGCCGGGGCCTCCAACGAGTGCAGTAGAGAACCCGCATGCTCCGACTCACCGGATGAAAGTTTTGAATCGACAACAAAGTCTTCCAGTATAAAGTCTACGAGCAGCGTGATAACTTCAGCGTCAAAACAAGCTTCAAAAAGTCAATGCAAGAAAAATAATGGCATTAATTCTAAAGGTAGGGGGAGTATAAGCTCTTTTCTTGAACAGGGAAAGTCAAAAGCTTCTGATACAGAGGGACTGGAGACTGAGGGGCTCCCAGGAAGTAAGTCTGACAGTTCACCCGTCGGGAATTCTTTGTCTGTCGCTGCTCCAAAGTTGGGATTTTTTGCTAAAAAGATGCAGGAAAAAGAACTGCAAACTAACAAAGACTTATGTGCATTGACAAAGTCTAGTTCTGTAGACGGTGTAGTGCGTGATGCTGGTGACGGCGAAAGTGGTTTGTCTGGAGATGGTTGTGGTTTGAGTGCTGTGGACGACGCTAGTGGATTCGAGGCCGATTCAGCTTCTCTTTCCAATTCAAATAGTGAGGGTGTTGTTAAAGAGAATGAGGAAGGAGATGTTTTAGGCATGCCTTCAACTTCACTGCGCAATGAAAGCGCCGATAGCAATTTTGTAGAGCGTCTGGACTGTGAAGATGTAGATAATGCTGAGATGATTGTGACAGCAACCACTAGTGATGAGAACAAGGGTGTAAGTGTAGATGTTGAGGTCCCTTCCAGCACTGCTCAGGGTAGTAGAAATGGAATATTGGGGATGGGATTTGCTGAGAGAACTATTGATGTGGAAGACTTGATGGAGTGCGAGAAATGTAGGGAAATGATTTCCATATGGGAGATGCCGGAGCACTCGGACTATCACTTTGCCCTAGAACTTCAGAAAGAATCGAGCTCATCATCGTCAGCGTCAGGCACCTCGGGCATCTCCAGGGCCTCTGGCTCGGATTCAACGGTCAAGCGCAAGTCGGACACTGGGGCAAAGAGTGGCCGAGGGGGGAAGAGAAAGAAAGTGTCGACAGATCGGTCAATACAACCATTGACAGCTTACTTCTCCAAGACGTGATCTATTTATGTGAGGCTTCGTGGTGAAGTCAGGCACTCGTCAAAATAATGAAATTGTAGAAACTGGCACTATTCCGTTGGTTTGGCAATTTTTATCAATTTTTAGTTTTTTTGGCTCAAAACCTTTTATGTCCTTTTAAGAATAAATTTCTGTGTGGACTTCACTTAAAAACGTTGATTAAAGGCACTAAAAATGGAAATTTTCAGTTTCCATGGACTCTCAAGCTATGAAAATAAATAAACTTTGGCGGTCATTTTCTCTCTAATTTTACCTCTGAAATCAGGGGACCCCCACCTCCTTCAGTCGCAAATATTTCAACTGGTATCGAAATCCAGACAAATGAACAAGCTTTAAGATGATACCAACAACTCCACATGCCCAAAAATTGACGAGCGCCTGATTCCACCGCGCCGTGACTCATATGGCTGACGTGTGATGTGTTTGGAGGACCAGATACAGTACTGTCTTGTTGAACTGTTCTGAAGACATAATGTGCTGTAAGTTAAAGTTGTTGGTGTATGCACTGGACTTCCTTTTCCGATCCAATAGCCATCTCAGTTCTAGCCCTTCGTGCACTGGACTTAAAAAGATATTTATTTCTGCCTAAATCCATAGGAAGTGGAGACCGCTTGGAATTGTGTACGTATTAGGGCACATGTCTAGAAAAGATTAATATGTAAATGATGTTATCAGCAGTTGATAAAATAGATTTTGAATGCTGGCACAGATCTGCTGTGTCACGCCGGAAAGGCACGTGTCGTCGTCTTGAAGACACCTGCGGGGTACGAAGCAGAGACTTGTACAAGTCTCAAGTAATGGCAGCTGTGAAATAAATTACTTCCGGCATGAAAGTTTTGTCAAAGTGGTATGTTGCAAGGTGTTACATATATATGTACAAATTTATTGTGTTCATAAAACTGTGATGGAATACATATTTATGAAATATATATGAGGAGTCCACAGGAAAAATGGGAATAGTCACGAACTGAAATTCGTGAGGGTATCAATTTTAAACGTTTGTTGACTCATAACTGTATTTCTATTCAACTGTTGGTTAGTTATTGTTGTTAAATTTCCCATTTGACAAACATTACAAAGAACCACCAGTCAAACAAATATGAAGTTATGAGTCCACAAGCTTTTAAAATTGACACCCTCACAATTTCCAGTTTGTGACAATGCCCGTTTTTCCTGTGGACTCCTTGTATATGTGACGTGTGCTGACAAAATGAGTTTCTTCTCAGATTTTAGCCTTATGGACACAGATACATTAAATTCATAGGATTAGTTTGCACAATTTATTTGTAAGAATTGATATAAGGTGATAAAGAAGTTAAATTTGAAGAAAGTGGAATCAGATTAAAATTTACAATCCGACCCCTGTTGTTATCTCCATTCATGGATTTCGAGAAAGAACTGATTTTGTCAGCACGTTTCATATACATTTTTCACGCTGAATTGTTGGCAAAAAATGAGTTTGTGTGAAAACATGGGAAAATGCAGGAAAGTGAAAAAACCGACTTTGGTGATTTTGTCAGTTTTTATTTTTTGTATCATTTTGATGAGGATGAAAGGTGAATGAACCACACAGTGGAGTACAGAGTGAATCCGAAAACAGCGGGAAACAGAAAGAAAAAAAATAGAATCCCTGATTTTTTTTCTTCTACTTTGAGCAACCTATCTAAACTGAAATTCAGCTAGACTGAAGAAAATCGGATGATCCTGCAGATTTTGATTTAAGTGGACTCCACTGTATATATATGAGAGGCATCGTGGTGAAACCAGGCGCTCGTCAAAATGAGATTGAAGAAATTGCCATTTCTCTGCCCGTTTGGCAACTTTTATCAAATTTTTTTTTTTTTGGCTCAACACATTTTGTTTCCATTAAAAAACTCGTTTATGTTTGAATTGTACTGAAAAACATTGAAGAAAGTCACAAAAAACATAGCTTTGGAGTTTTTTAGGATTCTCAAGGTTTGGAAGTCACTAAACTTTGGTGGCCATTTTCTTGCTAATTTTACCTCTGAAAACAGGCGACCCCCCACCTCATTCAATTGCAAATATTTCGACTTCTATTCAAGATAGATGGGTATTTTTTTTCACTGAAGGAAAGAAAAATGAATACGCTTTGAGATGATGCCAATACCTTCACATGCCAAAAATTGACGAGTGCCTGATTCCACCATGTCATGACACATATGGCAGGTTGAATTTTCTGTTTTGTGCATACTGATACATTGTACATATTTAATTTGAAGATCCACATGTTCATTCAGATCTCACTTTCACTTTCATTCTCACTCACTCTCACAATAACTCTTAAGTGGATGCGCACAGGTCAGTCATGGTCATTTCAGTTTTGACTGATAAAAATATCTTTGACTGACATACTTAAGTTTGAAGTTTGAGCAACTCCACAGTCTCTGCTACTGCTAAAGGTGAATTGTACTGTGAACTTATGCCTATAGTTTTATTGTTATTCTGCAAGACTTATATGTGTCTTCATGTCATGTATATATATACAGTATAGTATAACATGGAAAGGTCCAACACAGAAGACTCGAAACCACGCATCTGTTGAACAGTGCCTGCGGTCCTGGGTTTTTTTCTTCTCATTTATCTTTGTAAGATATCCCGGGAACCGCAGATCCCTCGAACTACCGAGGCCGGTCGCGACGGATTCGAGCTATCCGTGTTATACTATACTGAATGTGGGATTGACTGTAATAATTTATTGTAATTGTAAGTATTCATACTGTTGTGGAAACTTTCCTGTGCATAATGCTCAGCTTTGTTCCTTGCCTTAGTAATTAAATGACACATCTAATGTGAAATATAGGACACTGCCTCAAATAAACAAACTGTTTCCTTTTTGTAGATAAATATTGTGTTTCTGTATCACTAGTTGCCTAAGTCTTTTATTTGTCATTTTCTTTGTCCTCTTAGATGATTACCCTTTTGTGTGGGTGGTTGGTGGGTGCTCTGGTGTGGTTTGCGCCTTCTTTCCTATTGAACAACTATCGTCTTTATCTCTCCTCCTTCTTTTTTATGTTTGTTACTCTCTTGTAACACCTCTAATCTTCAGCACTTTTATGACTTTATTGTGTTGCAAATGCCGTAAAACTCTTACTAAAACTAAAAAACTAGATACTTAAGTCTTTTATTATCATTTTCTTTGTCCTCTGAGATGATTACATACCCATTAGTGTAAAGTTTATCTGAGAAATCACTGCAAAATTCTAGTGAGTGGGTGCGATAAGACTGAGAGCAGGTGGTAAGCTGGGTCAGTACGTTTTATCATGCTGGACTGCAGTGCAGGCACCTGTGGTTCAAATCTTTACCAAGGAATTCGTCAACTTTGGGGAGTTAAGAGATTATCATGGCACTTCATTAGTATCTGTGGTGTACTGATCAGGCTCCTCGCTGTGGCACGCAGAAGGCATAAGTTCGATTCCAGAGTTGGGAAGTTTTTAGTCAAGTACAGTCAACTCTGAGGGTGCGGTGGCTGAGTGGTTAATGTGCTCGTCTCCGAAGCGGAAAGTCCAGGTTCGAGCCGCGGTTCGGACACAGATTTTTTTTGTCCTCTCCTGCCCACCCTGCAGTTATGGGTACCTGACTTCAAGTTGAGGAAGTAAAGGCGGCGTGGAAAGGAACTGGCCACCTTACCACAATATGCTGAAGGCCCAGGAAGTTGTCCCACTAACAAGGCAATCCCCAATGTCTGGATCGGATGCGGGAACAACTTTGCTTTACAGTCAATTCTGCTTGTGTTGGACTGGCTTGAGTAGATCTTCGGTTAAGTTCATCCTTTTCTCGGGTCCCAGCACCTCTTCTTCTTTACAGATCCCAACGGTTAAGTTCAACTTCGGATCAGTTGATCCTTTATTTCACTCTCCTGACCCTGATGACCTCAACTCATCCGTAGTTGTCTGTATTTCTGCCAGTCTAGTAGGATTTTGTTTGTATCGCGTTCAGTCTGGGTTGGCCACGACAGGCAGGGTGGAAGTGGAAGCAGCCCACTTCCAAAATAGAATATATAACACGGATAGGTCAAACACAGAAGACTCGAATTCACACATCCGTCGAACTGTGCCTGCGGTCCCGTTTTTTTCTTTCTTCTTTATCTTTGTAAGATATCCCTCGAACTACGGATCCCTCGAAAGTTACCAAGGCCGGTCCCGACGAATTTGAGCTATCCGTGTTATACTGTATCAAAAATGTGTTACCAGGTTCGTAAAACGTTTACGTCTATAACTGTCTAGAGAGCGGTTATGCTGGCCTGACACAGTTGAGCGACCGGTGGGGGCGTGGTTGCGTCGTCTCTCCGGCGCACGTCATGCACTTCTGGCAGGTCTAGCTGGACGGTCCTCGTGTGAAGTCTCTCCATGATGCTCCCCCTGGCCTGTCTACATCTGTGCGAGGCCCACAGGGACTCGGCCAGGAGGAGGAGCATAGCGAGGCCAAGCCCCGCCCCTAGGATGAAGAAGGCGGACTGAGCCTCTCTGAGTGACACCACCTTCTTGGTGCCATATTGCGAGCTGATGGAGCACTTGCCGCCCCGGGGCCACCACTTCTTCTTCCACACCTGGTACAGGCCGATCTGGTCGATGTGAAGCAGGCTGGGGATGGGACACATGGAAGATATCATTTGGCAGGGAATGGGACAACAGGGAAAATATAATTTATCATTTAGCTGGGGATGGCACACATGGAAGATATCATTTATCATTTAGCTGGGGATGGGACACACGGAAGATATCATTTAGCTGGGGACGGGACAATAGGGAAGATATCATTTAGCTGGGGATGGGACAACAGGGAAGATATCATTTAGCTGGGGATGGGACAACAGGGAAGATATCATTTAGCTGGGGATGGGACAACAATGGAGATATCATTTAGCTGGGGATGGGACAACAGGGAAGATATCATTTAGCTGGGGATGGGGCAACAGGGAAGATATCATTTAGCTGGGGATGGGACAACAGGGAAGATATCATTTAGCTGGGGATGGGACAACAGGGAAGATATCATTTAGCTGGGGATGGGACAACAATGGAGATATCATTTAGCTGGGGATGGGACAACAGGGGAGATATCATTTAGCTGGGGATGGGACAACAGGGAAGATATCATTTAGCTGGGGATGGGACAAAGAAGATGGGGACACATGGAAAATATCATTTAGCTGGGGGCGGGAGAACAGGGGGCTCTCGTGGCCTAGAGGTTAAGGTGTCGGCCTCTCATTCAAAGGTCTCGGGTTCGAATCCGGGTAGTGACCGAAACATTTTCTTCTCTAAATTTGTCTCCTTTCACTTCCTTTCCTGCTCTCTAGCAATCAATGTTCTTTCGGCTGCTCTCGTCTCCTCGTTCTGCCCCCACTCCCTCATCTCCTTTGCCCCCCCTCCTCTGGGCTCCTGATTCTTTCTACAGCCTTTCTACTGCTACTCCCTGGCTTCTTCTTACTGCTGTCTTTCAGCCACACCCCTGATCTTCTGGTAGGAAAGATCTACACCTAGCCTTCTCGGACAAGGGCGAAAAATCTCAGAGGGCCCGTGTGCAAGTTGCGCACGTTAAAGATCCCTTGGTGGTCTAAAATCGATAAAAGCAGGCTTCGGCCGCCACCCGGGCAAAATTCAAAATTTCCTACCAACTGAAAAAGTTGAATGTGTCCAGCGCGCTCATATGACCTTATGCAGTTGCGAGCGCCGTAAAACACTTACAAAAACAAAAAACAACAGGGAAGATCATTTAGCTGGGGACGGGACAACAGGGAAGATCATTTAGCAGGGCATGGGACAAAGACGGGGACGCGGAAGGTATTTCATTTAATTGATTTAGCTGGGGACGAGACAAAGAAGATGGGGACACATGAAAGATATCATTTAGCTGGGGACGGGGCAACAGGGAAGAAATCATTTAGCTGGGGATGGGACAAAGAAGATGGGGACACACGGAAGATATCATTTAGCTGGGGATGGGATAACAGGGAAGATATCATTTAGCTGGGGATGGGACAACATGGAAGATATCATTTAGCTGGGGATGGGACAACATGGAAGATGCAGTTTAGTTTAATTGGTCGCGCTTTGTTTTAGTTTTAGTAGGGTTTTACGGCGCTCGCAACTGTGTATGGTCATTTGAGCGCCACGGGGTGGATGTCAACAGAGAAGGAAGTCCAAATAGGGAATCAGGCTTACTTTGCTCACCTCTCTAACCTCAACAGCACAAAGTCTGCTTCGACTATCAAGGCACCCCGGAAATAGCAGTTCACAAGAGAGTGACAAACACACAAAAGAAGTAGAGGAAAAATGATGATAGTAAGAATGAGGAAAGAAAAAGCAGCAGTTCCCCTTATGTTGTTCCGACACAGTATGATGAGCATGACATTGATAAATCAGCCCATTTACAATTCTACTGTGCATAAGAACATGTTAATATCCCCCCTTTGGGAATGGCCTAAAGACACTTCAGTCAGTAGCACTTCCCTGGTGGGTGGGGGGTTGGTCGCTTTTAAGCACAAAGGTGGGCTGTCTCGAAAAATGCTGTTTTGAGAAAATCGAAGGTAACGTTTTTGGACCCTTGTTCAGTTTCTTAAAAAAACAAGGAGAGTTTTCTCTATAACCTAAGAAATATACACACCAATGAATCCAAATTTCTCCTATAGGTAGGGCAATGCCCACTTTTGGTGTACGTCAAGATTTCTGGAAACCCCCGAAATCTGGACTAGGCTGCTTGTCCTTAAAAGCGTCCAATTTTAGCAAGAGTGTTACGGCACTTGCAACACAAAAACAAATACATGGTGGATTGCGTTGCAATCCCAGAAAGGCGGTAAATTTAAAGAATGAAATCATGGATTTGTTTTTCTTCTATTTGGATAATCTCTTAAATCCGATAACCTGGATAAACCAAACCGAAGAAAGTCCCGCGTATTTCTGTTTAAGCGGACTGCACTCTATACTTAGTTTAGTTTTAGTGAGAGTTGTACGGCACTTACATAATAGGTCATATAAGTGCCGAAGACTAGAGGTGTTACATGTACTAGAGAGTAACATACAAAGAAGGCAAAGGGAGATAGCGACGATAGGAAAGATGGAGCAAACCCTAGACGGTCAGAGAACAAACTGCATTAGAGCACGCCAACCACACACGAAGGAAGGTATTATATAGTCGAACCTGCTCTAACTGCCAGCGCGGTGTGTTTCTCTTAAGTAATAACCTCATATATTCGGCACTTACGTAACCTATATATCGTGGAAGGTAAAGAAATCAAATGAGGTAGTGCTTTAGGAAGCCCACGAGGGACGCTCACTGTTAAAAACAATCAGGAAACGACAAATGCAGTTTTTGGGACATCTGAATAGACACAAACGTCTTGAACATCTAGCTGTCACTGGCAAAATTGAAGGTAAGCGAGGCAGGGGTAGGCCCAGAGCAACCTACTTGGGGAACCTGAACAAGTGGGGGACAGGGAAAGATCAGGGAAACGTAGTAGCTTTTTCAAGAGCATCCAAGCAAAGGAATGAATGGAGAACCATGATCGCCGATGTCTGTCGCAGATCTGGCACTGGATGATGATGATGATGATGATGATGATGATGATGGTGATGATGATGTAACCTATTTGTGTTGCAAGTGCCGTAAAACTCATACTAAAAGTAAAACGTCAACATGTACAACGTTTACTCACTGTGTGTTGAAGGTAGTGACATATGCTGAGTTGTTTTGTAGCCCGATCACGAAAGGCAGCGGTATAACAGTCTCTTTGAGCAATTTTAGATTGCAGTCTTTTGTCACCCAGATCTCCATAGGCACCATGTCACTGATGTAGGCGTAGTGACCTTGCTGAACTTTGTTGTAGTGAACCATGGGGTCAAGGCTGTTTGTGTCGGGGTCAATGGCCTTGAACCTCTCCAGGCCTTCCCCCAGCATACGGAAGTCAGTACGCTTTGACACCTGGAGGGATCAGAATAGAATATCCTATGAATAATGAATGAATTACAGTTTATTGACCCTCGTGGGGAAATTTGGGTTGCAATGGCAAACACACATCATGCACATGATACACAGCCTGCATAACATGCAATACATATAACAATGTATTGAAACACACACACACACACAAACACACACACACACACACACACACACACACACACACATACATATATATATATATATATATATATATATGTACATGTACATGTACTTGACAAAAAATACCAAATACAATCATTTCAGTATCAGTCAGATAATTTTTCAAACATGCTATTGCTGGTCTACTGATTTGAAGATTAATAATAAACGAAAGATCCTAAACATTTTTAGTTTGGTATGAATTCTGAATTTTGCCCGGATGACAGCCGAAGCCTACTCTACATCGATTTTATGGCCCACCAAGAGATCTCTAACTTAAACGTTCGCAGCTTGCACACGGAACCACCGAGATTTTTCGCCCTTATCCGAGAATGCTAGGTATTAGATTTTACCATCCACAAGATCAGGGGTGTGGCTGAAACTGAAAAACAACAGTAAGAAGGAGCCAAGGAGTAGCTGTAGAGTAGAAGAAAATGGAAGTGAATTGATCGATGAACAGACCTTGAGAAAACCTGTATCCTACTATCCTACTCAGCTCCAGTTTGCCCATGATTTGCGAGGGTGAACATTATAGCAGCCCGCCTCCCAAATGGTCTAAATCGTGTCGGTGAGGTGTGACAGTAAAACAATTTTGCAAAAAGGTGTCAATTAAGATTAAAATAAAACAAAAAACTTATGGCGTCAATGAGCACAGTATCTCGTATACCGGTACAAATTAATATATTGCATCAAAGATCGTGTATAACAAGATAGTTCACTCCTCTCTTTGAGCCAATTAAAATAGTGTCCTCAAAATTCGGTGTCGCCCTCTTCGAAAAAGCGCGGACTTTGGGAACAGAGTTACCCTACTTGTGTGAAAAACAATACAAGTGAAACTAACAAAACTGCTATTCCTATTCTTCTTCTGAAGAAACGAAAAGAAAGCTTCAAAAAAAAAAAAAGACTGCAGCGCCATCTGAAGCAATGCGCGGACTTCCGCGGACATTTTTAAAGCTGAGTGAACAATCTTGTTATGTGCGATGTCTGGTTACATACACATCTTGTTAAACATGTCCAGACGTACATTAAAGAGGTATCTGTGTAGAGACGTGCATTAACACCCGATATCCCCCGCCAGGGAGTAAGAGAGAGAGAGAGAGAGAGAGAGAGAGAGAGAGAGAGAGAGAGAGAGAGAGGGAGGCACGGAGGAGACAGACAGACAGACGGACAGCTTGACTACCTGACGACAGTCCTCCTCTATCCAGCCTTGACCATCAATAATTTATATAAAGTGACACCAGCCATCCATGTCCAGGTGCTGTTTTAGCCTTCTTATTCATCTTTGAACACCCTCTCTCACACACTTTCCAGTCCTCCACTTGAGGCTCCCCGTTGTTCCGGCTCATCCCCCACAGTGCTAGGTTCGGCAGTTAGTCAACTCTCCATTTTAGCCTTTGAGCACAGCAAATTTCCCCCTCCCCTCTCCCCACCCCAAGAGTGGGCTGTTACTGTTAGGTGATTAAAGAGATACCTGTGCAGACACGCACATTAAAGTAACAGGTACCTGTGTAGACGTGTACATTAAAGTAACAGGTACCTGTGTAGACACGTACATTAAAGTAACAGGTACGTGTGTAGACACGTACATTAAACTGATATCTGTGAAGAGACGTGCATGAAAGAGATACCTGTGCAGACATATGTACATTAAAATAACAGGTACCTGTGTAGACACGTACATTAAAGTAACAGGTACCTGTGTAGACATGTACATTAAAGTAACAGGTACCTGTGTAGACATGTACATTAAAATAACAGGTACCTGTGTAGACACGTACATTAAACAGGTACCTGTGTAGACACGTACATTAAAGTAACAGGTACCTGTGTAGACACGTACATTAAACTGGTATCTGTGTAGAGACGTGCATTAAAGAGATACCTGTGCAGACATATGTACATTAAAATAACAGGTACCTGTGCAGACACGTACATTAAAGTAACAGGTATCTGTGTAGACACGTACATTAAAGTAAGAGGTATCTGTGTAGACAGGCACATTTAAGTAACAGGTATCTATGGTGACACGTACATGAAACAAGTATCTGTGTAGACATTAAACTGGTATCTATGTAGAGACGTGCATTAAAGAGATACCTGTGTAGACACGTACATTAAAGTAACAGGTACCTGTGTAGACACGCACATTAAAGTAACAGGTAACTGTGTAGACACGTACATTAAAGTAACAGGTATCTATGTAGACACGTACATTAAAGTAACAGGTACCTGTGTAGACACGTACATTAAAGTAACAGGTATCTGTGTAGACACGTACATTAAAGTAACAGGTATCTGTGTAGACACGTACATTAAAGTAACAGGTATCTGTGTAGACACGTACATTAAAATAACAGGTACCTGTGTAGACACGTACATTTAAGTAACAGGTATCTGTGTAGACACGTACATTAAAGTAACAGGTATCTGTGTAGACACGTACATTTAAGTAACAGGTATCTGTGTAGACACGTACATTAAACAGGTATCTGTGTAGACACGTACATTTAAGTAACAGGTATCTGTGTAGACACGTACATTAAACAGGTATCTGTGTAGACACGTACATTAAAGTAACAGGTACCTGTGTAGACACGCACATTAAACAGGTACATGTGGAGACACGTACATTAAAGAGGTTCATGTGTAGACACGTACATTAAAGAGATACTCGACCACTGTGGATCCAGTGACGCCCCAGGTATAGGTGTCCTGGCTAGCCAGCTCGCTAAGCGTGGTGAAGGGCAGCTCTTCCTTGGCCACCAGCAGGAAGGCCATCAGGTTCCCGCGGTACGTTGCCGCCACGGCGATACAGAACATCCACCAGAAGGCCAGGAAGAAACGGCGGGAACCATAGGCCGGCAGCTCTTCCAAACCTAAGACAAGAGACAGTTGTTGTTATTTTTAGTCGTAGCGGGTTGTTAGTCGTTGTGAAATGGGTAGTTGGCGGGTGCTTTGGTGTGTTGAATAAACCCTACCTACCGCGTTTAAAAAAACTCACCCGCCATCCTGAATAATAAAACCCCCGCCTACTGCTCTGAATAAATTTCACCTAAAATTTTGAATAAGCCCCCACCTACTGTTCTGAATAAGCCCCGCCTACCGATGTATCCCTATCTAACGTGCTAAACAAGCCCGCCGATCGCGCTAAACAAGCCCCGCCTACTGAGTGAACAAGCTCCACCTACCGTGCCGAATAACTCCCGCCTACTGAGTGAACAAGCTCCACCTACCGTGCCGAATAACTCCCGCCTACTGAGTGAACAAGCTCCATCTACCGTGTTGAATAAACCCCAATTAGTGAGTGAACAAGCTCAACCTACCCTGCTGAATAAGCCCGCCTATCAAGTGAACAAGCTCCACCTACCGTGCTGAACAACCCCCACCTACCGAGGGAACAAGCTCCACCTACCGTGCTGAATAAGCGCCGCCCCGAGCACGCCGCCCTCGTCATTGGTCTCTGCCAGGAACTGCATGACGTAGTTTCCCCGCCTCTTTTTCTCGTCCCGGGGCGACAGGATGCCCAGAAGGGCGTACAGCAGAGTGCCCCCCAGCAGGGATACCCCGATAAAGCCCAGCACCTAACATGGGTGAAGAGGGGGAAGGGACGAGTTTTGATGAGTTGGGATTGTTTGGAAAAGAGGGGTGGGGGGCGGTTGAAAATGCTGGATAGGGTTGATGGGTATGGATGGTTAGGAAAAAGAGGGGTGGAAGGAGGGGCTGTTGGAAATTTAATATGGAAGGGGGAAAGATAGATGATTTTAGATTTTTTG